CATAACTATGGTCAGAGTTAAAATCTAATAATCGTGTACTTGCTGTTTCTTTTCTATACCAACTCGTACCTATTTCATCACTTTTTTCATTTATCCAAATAAGTACGTCTAGAAAAGGTATTTTATGATTTTTTTCATATTCAGATGTAAATTGTAGATCATTCTTACTATTCAACTCCTTAACTAATTGCTCGATTTGTACCTTATCTAATTCTGAAATTAACAAGATGTCGTCCACATATCTTGCTAACCCGATATAAGGATACTCTTCAAAATTCCAATTTTTGAAAAGAAAATTGTTAACTGCAGTGCCCGCCAGAAACGGTGAAATGGATGAAGCTATTGGGAGTCCATAAACTTGTTTATAAAATTGACTACCAAACTGAAAAATGACATTCTCAATGCTGAATTCAATTAACCTTAATAGATTTTCTTTTGTTAGACTGGTTTTGCTTTTCCACGATTCATCTTGATCCAACAAATCGCTAACTATCACGATGACTTTCTCACGATCTACTGACGTGAATAAATCAGTTATATCTAAACTGGCTAGTTTGCTTGTTTTCTTAACCTTTAATTTGTACAACTTAGTGACTAGATCTTGGGTATTTTTGATTGATCTGTTATTATCGGCTACTGACTTGGTTATATTTGTGATAAATTTAGTTAGTGCTGATCCCATTGTGTCTCTCATCGATACAATTAATCGCATCGATTTATCTGGTTTGTGGACTTTTAATTGTCCTCGTACAAAGGGTATTTTCTTATTCTCTAGTAACATCTCCATTTCGTCCTGATCAATCTCGTTTCTACCCACTAACTCTGCTAGTAGCAATTCTAACTTTTTATGTATAGATTTTGACGGATCTTCTTCTAACAGTTCATATGCTTTTGTATCTAATTTTTCACGTATTTTCTTGATGTAGTCAGTTACGTTCATTACGACTACTCTGCCTCCTTTATCTGCCGGAATTACGATAATCTCTTCATCCTCTTTTAGTTTTTTGATTGCTTTCTTTTGTGTTCTAGATAAATTTTCAAAGTATTTCTTTTTGTCCGCCTGAATTTGTTGCTCCAACACTCTTTTCACTTCACTAACAATTTCTTCTCTGTCCCCTAAGCTTTTACGGTAAATACCTGCTTCAGCCCGCGCTACTAGCTTCGCTACAAATTTAGTTTCATTCAAAGGTTGAGTCGGTATGAAATTCAACCCTTTTTTCAATAACGAACGTTCATCCTCATCGATCCTTCTACTAGAGAGATCTACAACCGTGTCCGAGCCTTTATTGTTCTCTTCTTCTTGTACCTTGTTTTCTTCCTTCTTTATATTCAAGTCATTATTATTACGGTAGTTCAGTTGTTCTATCCGTTTTTTGAGCTGATACCACTTGACGCTCAATTTCTTTTTCATCTCTTTTCTAACATACTGTACTGATACATCGATGTTGGTACATCAGAACGGTAATCTTGTTTTATCATGGTCAATCTCATTGATTTTGCTTTGCAGATAAGCTGTTTTACATTTTAATTTGTGTAATTTTGCATAATTCGTTCTTACCGTGCTATTAATCAGTTGAACACTCGCTTTATCGCATATAGACTTAGCATTATGCACTCAAAATGCGACGATTTAATATTGAGAATATATTTATATTATATAAATTTTTCATCCAATGCCAATTTTATTTACTGTTCCAGTACTTGTATCTTGGTCCATCTATTGCTTCAACATTAACTTCTTTAATTACAGCATAATATGCATGTAAAATGTTTTGAAGTGTAGAAATATCGGCAAATTCAAATTGATAACGTGTTCATTTTAACTGGCGTGATATTCTGATTATAATCACTGCGCTATAGTTGCTGTTGCCATTGGATACGTCATAGTCAAATTTATTAAACGGGATATAAGAAAATACCGACCAATGACAATCATGATTGACATTGATAAAAGACGGTCAACAACATATGCCACTTTCGCCGGACAAGCACCCTATATCATCCAAGTGGATGACTACAATCAGCGGCCCGGACTATCAACACCTCCTCACATACATATACAAAAACTGAATACCGCTTCCCAAAGCCGTATGAAGTAGTCCCAGGACAACTACAAGCAATGGGAGTAGACTAAGGAGATGACTACTCCGGTCTCTTATGGAATTTTAGCTCGTTTTTTCCATTTTTCTCGGATTGGATCTTAAATCCTGATCTTTTAAACACACTCTCCAACTGCGATAAAAAATACTCGCTTCATGAAACTACCCTCCGGATTCATTCGCACATCGCCTCTCTCCGCTACCCGCCCTCCCCAAGTTTCTGATACAATTCCTTTTATTTAGTTTTTAATTATTTTGCTCACTTAAAATCACCATTATTTCTCATGTCCTTGCCATCTGTAATAAAAAACTATCATACATTCTTCATCTTTCCTTTCCTATACCTCCGCAATGTTTCTACGTACAAGGGATAAACATACTTGAGAGACGATTCATTTCTCCCTTTCTTTCTTCCCATCCCATGATAGTTTGATTTCCGTTCTATTGCTCGCATTCCACTACCGAATCATCAAACTCACATACTGCATGCACAAACAGTTATGCATCTTCCTAGAGCATTCCTCTCTTATCTATTCACTCTATTAACCGATGTGAACTGCATTCCCTTTCATTTTCTTTCTCCGTCCAACTAATGATGTATTGAAAACGTTTTTGTACAGAGAATAACCGAGCCGTCTTTCAATCTTTTTTAATTCTTCTTCTTATTATTTTCTTTTTTTTAAACTTTTAATTTTTTATCCATGGTGAAAATTAATAAACACTGATTACAGCATACTCTGTAGCATCTCACCAAACCAGTAGGTCAATATCGTTCATATTTTATGATATCCATTTATTTTAGCGTGAACCACTCTACTGTATATACCATTCGATGGAGAATTTCACGGGCTACACAATGAGCTACAACATATTATTTTAAAAGTTTGTCTTCGTAAATGTATTGGGCTTGACAGATATCTCGATTTTTTTAGTGTACATAAAAATGATTATAGTTTCTTTTACACACAGAGATTAGGCATAGTTTGTATTTAGAAAAATGCAAAACTGAAAGGGCCAGAGAATGGTATATAACGTATTCTTTCAAATTGTAAGTTTGTTACACTTATGAGCAGGATACCCAACGGATGCATTTTTGACCCATTGTAGAATGGTGATTGAGATACAGTGTTGTATACAAAATCGGACCCGAAATGGTTATGATATACAAAAGTGCAGAATTTAACGTGCTTCAACATCAATTTTTTTAAAAAGTATGCCGCCAACCATTTATATATTGAACAATACCTGACTGTCGCGAGTTTTGTCAACCGTGACTTTCAAAACTACTGAACCAGGTTTATTTTCAGTTTTTCTGATCGAAGATAATAGCTACAACAAATGTGAGCACAGATTTGAATAACTCAAGGAGTTCCCAATCTAGTCTATGGCAAATAAAGATTCCACTAAAATCCATAGGATCCAGGTCTCTGGAAAACCCTGACTCTAGAAACCTAAGTCCCGAATTTGAGTGATAATTTTTTTGTAATAGCCTCATCATGTACAGAAAAGATTCCTGTGCAAACCAAGACGTCTTCGAGCTTTTTAAAATGCTCTTTCACCAAGCGGCATTCCATTTAAGAAAGGCCTCATATCACCAAAATCAGCGAAATGAATCGGAAAACACGAAAAATATGTCTTTCATTTTTTTACCCATAAATCCAACAAACTGACGATTTGAAAGAATACGTTATATACCATTCTGTGGCCCTTTCAGTTTTGCATTTTTCTAAATACAAACTATGAGGAAGGTGTGATGGTGCAAATTTTGGATGTTGTAGATGTTATGGTGGTAAACGGCAATTTAGACTTTTTAGACTTTTAGACTTTCTTCTAGAAAAGGTCAACGTCCAAAAGTGCTCAACTTGGAGTTTGAGTATGGTGACTCACCCTCAAACTGC